CCAAACCCTTGCCACGCAAACCCAATACACCCGCTTCTGTCCTCCTTGTCCTCAACGAGGGCCAAGCCCAAAACGAGTGTCCTGAGCCCGATTCCTGCAAGGGCTTTGCTTCTCAGGTGGGAAGCGCCACGCACCAGGCTGCGGTGCAGGGGATCAGGACACCAAAAGGTCCCTGGCGTTGGTCTTAAACACCAACCACAGCCCCGAGGAGAGGAGTTCCCCCAGGGATTCCTCAAAAAGCCGGTCCTGCTCTGTGCCATCAGGTGCTGGTGCGTGTCTGGAAATGCCGTGCGAGTCCCTAAGAGAGCTTCATCCCCCTCCAGCCGTCGCTTGCTGCCGGGCTGCGCTAAGTCACTGCAGGGAGATGCTCACCAACACCTACCCAGGCAAATACGGAGTCAGCCGGTGGCGGTGGACATTGCTTTGCTTGCAGTTTGTGGTGACCTTGGAGAGACTGTAGGGACACGCTGTCCTGTCTCTTGCTGCTGCTGGTACTTGCCAATCGCTCCGACTGGCCGAAGATAAAACCGCGGGGCCGGTCCCCACCTCTGTCCTTCTTGCTGGACGGGGGGAAACTTCGTCAGAGGTGCATATGGGAAGGCACTAATCTTCCTTGCAGCTGGATAAGGTTTAACGAAGTCCTGTGACTAAGTCAAAGTGGGAATATGAGGCCAGATTAGGTTAGCCGCGACATCCAAATGACCCCTAAATCCTGAAGCAAGGCTGTTCAGTCAGGTAAAAGAACAGTCGGAGTATCGGGAATCGTGGTCTGTGGCTGAAAGGGACGGGGAACACCTCGGTTGGAGGAGACTTGGGTAACACCGCTCTTTCCGAGCATCCAAACTCATTTCTTAGAAGCTCTTTATCATTGGAGCTCATTATCAGATGTATTAATAGCTCTGTCATTTCACCAGAGAAAGGACTCAAACTCCTCTGCGCTTCGTGTCCGAAGACTGACACAGGCAGCGAGAAGGGATCAGAGAGGCGCGGGTGGCAGGGAAGGGCATTTCTCGGAGCTTTCTGAGAGCTGAAGCTGCCCCGGCAGCAGCGGTGGCAGGACGGGACAGGCAAAGGCTGGCCATGGCCCCGCTGGTCTTCGCTCTTCCCTTTGCTCCCTGCAGCATCCGTCCAAGCAAAGGCAGATCCATCAGGATGCAATGAAGGAGGAAGGGGCGCTGGGGGGGTTTCCTGAGCTGCCGAAAGCTGGAAGCACCGGTCCAATGCTGACAGCTCGGAGGGAAGCAGCAAGGGGGTCCCTTGCTGGGGTCCATCCCCACTGTTAGCGGGGACCGGGGAGTCAGCAAGAGCCCTACAGCAAAGGACAGCGGGGCTGCTCCTGCCTGACACCGGAACACCAACATCATAAATTTCCATTTGCTATAAAGGGTGTGTTTTACCTTTGTTTTCTGGAAAGATCAGGCTTGCGCTGAAGGCAAAAGAAAACATTTCTTGATAACAGATAACTTTTTATCAGATGTCACATATTTGGTCTTGATATCAGAGGTACTGGCCAATCTGTTAGCGCCTGAACAGCCGGATAAGGAGGCAAAATCAGGGCGGCTGCGGTGATAAACAAACCGCAAGTGTTGGTGTTGGGTGGGTGCAGTGATAGGGGAAAGGGGTTTCTGGAGCAAGGGGCTGGGCACGGCTCCCAGCTATATACACCCTGCCCTGGCCGAGGGAGTGCAGGAGCGGCCATGGACCCACCAGCACCCAGGACCATGTGGTGGCTGGTGCTGGCCCTGTTCTGCTTCCAGCTCGGGGAGGGGATGCTGAGGTGAGCCCTGGGGCCAGGATGAGTGCGAGGGTGCAGGGTCTGGCCACGGAACGGGGCTCACCCTCAGTACATGGGGGTGCACACGTGGACGGGGCTGCTCAGCCTTATTCTGCATCTCGCTGCTGTCTCCATCCCGCACAGGATCCCCCTGAGGAAAGGCAGGTCCATGCGGGAGCTGCTGAGAGAGAAGGGGGTGCCGGAGGGTTTCCTGAAGGAGCTCAAAGGGGACCCCGGTAGGAAATACCAGCTCAACAACGCTGTGGCTTACGAACCACTAACGAACTACCTGGATGTAAGTGTTAAAGCTTTTCCTTCTTCCTCTGAGCGACCTGGCCCTGGTTTTTGGGGATGCCCTCCTCCTTTCCTGGCCACATGCGGGAAGCTCTGCAGTGGGTGGCTCGGCTCCCTCCCCACTCACAAGTCGAGGGCTGCGCTGGGCATGGGTGGGAGTTTTGCTGTCACTGTAGGCTGGCTCCAAGGGATGGGAGATGAAGGCAAGAGGCAGCACATCTTATCCCAAATTGATTTCCCTTCTCAGGAAAAGCATTTTCATGGTTACAGGGCAGATCTACTACTCCTGGCCTTGCTGCTGACTTTGTTATGTCATAGGCAAATCATTGCCCCTTTCTGTGCTTTAGCTGCCCTGGATGCACTCAGGGGCAACGAGCCCTTCCTACGACCCCTTGGCAGTTTGGGTGTCTCAGCTAGCAGAGGGCAGAGCGCTGAAAACTCTCGTTCAAAAAAAACTGGGCAGAAACAGAAATCCACCCGTGCTCTTGTTCACAGTCCTTCTACTTTGGGGAGATCAGCATCGGGACCCCTCCACAAAATTTCCTGGTGGTCTTTGACACCGGCTCCTCCAACCTGTGGGTGCCCTCCACCTACTGCCAGAGTCCAGCCTGCGGTGAGCATCCCTCAGGGGACACAGCAGTGTCGGGGGGCTGGGGCTCCCCACCCATCGGTGCTCTCGCACATCCCTTGCACGCTGCGGGCTGGAGCTGTGACAGGGAAATCTGCGACAGCTGATGGGGTTTGGTGTTTGCTCTCTGCTCGGTGACACCGGTGGGGCTGGTTTTGGATGGCCCCTTCCCTGTGAAGCCCCTTGCCGGGGATTTCTGCCTGTGTGGGGACAGGGATGCTGAAGCGAGGGCAGGATGTGACCTGGGGGCTGTGACCTTCTCTCCGTGCAGTGAATCACAAGAGGTTCAACTCCAGCCTGTCGTCCACCTTCTCGTACATCGGTGTGACCTACACCCTGAGATACGGGCTTGGTGACCTGTCGGTGGTGTTAGGGTACGACACCGTGACAGTAAGTGACTTCTGATGTGTTGGTGCGTTGCTGCAGTCAGGGTAAGAGGTGACTGCAGTCGTGATGGGTCCAATTCAGCTAAAAATTTAGGGGGTAGCTGAAAGTACCTTCTTACCTTGGATATTAGTGCCTGAATCTCCCATGTAGAGTTTACGGCGTGTCAGCATAAATTTACTCGGAGTCTGGGATCTGCAAACAAACTCAGTCTGAGTCCTCTGGGCTTTTCATCACTGCTTTGGGCTAAGGGATAGCTTCGGCCATGGCTGTTTGCTTTTCACACTGCTGGCTGAGCTTTGTCATTACAGGACACAAGAAATGTTCTGTGCGAGACTTGCACGCAATCAAAGTGTGATTTTAAACTAATTTGACTGAGGCAAACCGTTTTTGTGGGTTTTTTAATGAAATAATAAGGGTGATGGGACAAAGACTATGAGCCAGGCTGCTCCCGACTCCATCTCCTGTCTGCGATGGGGAAGAGCTCAGCACCTCTCAGTGCAGATTTACCTTTGTGATCTTCCCGGCCACCCCTGCCTCTTCCCAGAAACTCCTTGGTGGGATGTTGCTGTCAAGGGGGATGTCCAAACTGCCGACATCTCACAGCATCTTTCCTCTCCCTCTAGGTCCAGAACATCGTCGTCAGGGACCAGGAGTTTGGCCTGAGCCTGGATGAGCCCAGCAGCCCCTTTTACTACCTGGACTTTGATGGGATTTTGGGCATGGCTTACCCGGGCGTTGCCATCAGCGGTTACAGCACGCTGATGCAGAACATGCAGCAGCAGGGCCAGCTCGCTGAACCCATCTTCAGCTTCTACTACTCACGGTGAGACCTCTGACAGCAGGTCTCTCTCTTGCATAGACACAGCCCGGATCCATCCTCTTCTTCATTCCCTCTCCATCCACACGTTCTCCCCACACACCTGTATGCTACACCGCTTTCTACTGAGCAGCCTGCCTGATTTGGGCTTTCATTTTGTGTCTTTCCAGCAACCCAACGTATAACTATGGTGGGGAAGTCATCCTCGGAGGGGTTGACCCCCAGCTGTACTCCGGGGAGGTTTTATGGTCTCCTGTCATCCAGGAATTGTACTGGAAGATCAGTATCGAGGAGTAAGTGCTGCACCGCGGCTCGGAGTGGGTCTCGGAGCCGGGAGAAGCCTTTTCTGATGCCTTTGCTGCTGCTGTCTCCAGGTTCTCCATCGGGCCGTCAGCCACCGGCTGGGGCAGGCCAAGCCGGCACCGC